CTCCGACCGGTGATGCCACGTCCAGTGGTGTTTCGGACAGTTTTATGCCTCCAACTTTGCGGTCACGGTTCGGGAGAAGGTTTTTCTTTCCCGCTTCTGGGAAGTCGGCTCCTCTCGGCAGAAGGTCAGAGCTGAGTTTTGGCCGGGTCTTATCGTCCAGAATCACATTCGGGCTCCGCTAATGTTCTCCTGACTGAGTCGGGAGAAAATCCCCGCCGACAGTTTGCCAGATCTTGCGGGAAGACCAAAATCCATCTGAAATGGAGGCTGTTATAGCAGCAGATTAATGCCTCCTGTGGTCAGGGGAACTATCTTTAATTGTAGTGACATTTTTATTTCTCTCCCGACTCCCAGCGATGACACAGAACATTTTCCACAGCCAGCTTTCATCTATATAATGTAGGTTTACAAAAACAAAAAAAAATCTGCCTGAAAACAAGCAGCTGTTCCTTTTTATAAGCTCCGAGTTTCACCTCCTGCTGACTTTTCACTTTTCTGGCGAGAGAGGGTTGAAATGCTTTTACGACCATAAGCGGCTGCCTGTTGTTTGTTCTCTAAGTGTGTTTGCTCCCCGCTTTGTACACGACAGAAAAACGGCTCAAGCTGGAATATGAAAAGGTCACGTCTCCTTTATAGAGCGCCGCACCTCACAAAACGTCTGGAACGAGAAGCCAATGTAGACGCAGAGTTCGGGAGCGTGTGCGATGCCTAATAGGTTCAGATTTGACAGTGATCCCATTAAGAGCTATAACCGAATTACACACAGAGAACAAATCATGTTAGAAGAGGAATAATCGGCCCAGATTTTGGTGTACAGATGCTTTGTTAATAACCTCTTCCAGTAAGAGTGGATGAAATTGTGACTCACAAACCAGTACAGTGTAGAAACGGGTCAAGTTTGGTCTCATTGGATACAAAAAAAAAAGGTCAGTTGACTTTCCTGTGTATTTGTATCACATCTTTTTATTGCAGACTTTTTTTTTTCATCATTACGCAGTCAATACCTAAAGAAGCTGCGGATGCCTCATTTGTAATCCGGCGTTTTCGTTTTGTTTTGTCTGAGTCGGGCTGTCAAAAATGTGTGCAGCGCCTGCCAAGAGGATAGTTTGGCGCGCATTAAGCAGCGGCTGAATACACAAGAAAAACAACCCCTCAAAATCTCCTCCTAAGCACTTTTCCTTGAGCCGATCGGAAAACATGTTAAGGTTAAAGAAATGTGGTCGGAGAAATTTGTAAGAACCCTCGGAACAAACCTGACCACATTTGTCTAAACGTCAAAGTGCAAATTAAAAAAACGGGAAAAAAACTCTTTCCACATGATTTAAGGGAGGCTTTATTATATAAATCATGCTAAGATGATAATATCCTGTAAGATAATACTTCTTTAGAATGGTTGGTATTTCATAAAAGAATGCAAAAGCAACCAAAGTGAAAAGTGTTTCCACCTCACATATCTAGATACCAGAATCACCATTTGTCCACCTGGATTTAACCAATCTACTGTCGTGTAGGAAGGATTGATATCTTCTTTGTCTTTTGTAAAGGATTTTCACAGAAAATAAAGTTGACCAGCTTGATGGAGCCCGGCGGGAGGAGACCAATTGGCCACGATCCAAGCAGACTGTTTGTTCATGTGGCCTATAATGGCTCACATTTACATCCCCTGAATCCGCTAACCGTCTGGAGACGAGCTACAGTACACGTGCATCCTTTTAGCGGCATAAGTGCTAAGAAACCCCAATCATCAAAGAGTTTGTTCTTAGTTTGATTTAATCTTGAAGTAACAAAGAAAATAAATATGCACAATAGCAATAGGGGGGCCTATTGTTCCTGAAGGTTCATTCATTAATACTTTATATAACCAGTAACACTAATAGCCATTGTAATATTAAAGATTGTTGCTAAGGGTTGCTGCTTTGTACAGGATCCACTTCCTGTACCTGCGGAAGCCTCTGACTTAACATACTTTGTTTGATTCATATTTCAGAATGTCTGCAGTGTTCGCCAGGCTGAGGAGGAAGATTTTTCTCATCACGCTGTCATACTATGTCTTCTGTTTTAGGGCTGATGTACATAATTCTATCCTTGTTCACAAAGGGAGAGAATTAATCCTCAAAGTGGTCCAAATTCTCTCTTCCTTTGTTTCGATTGGAGGAGATTTTGTCGAGGAAAGAAACAACTAAAGTTCTGCACCAGCACGCCGCATCCAGATTCTTTTATGTGCTTCTTACTTGTTTTAAAATGTATGCAAATGAATCCCAAACAAGTGATATTAATTGTTATTGGTATTTTGGAACTGTCTGGACACGGTGGGCCTGAGGCATTCGGGTCTTTTCAGTGTCAAAAGATGACACGGCTGGGATCTAAAACACTATGAAAAGGGCCCCGTTTCATCAGCCCTGGACTCAAAATGGGATGATACAAATCTGAATCTCTGAATTTCCCTCTGGTGGCTTTATTCAGAAGAAACTCTGTCGCCGGTCTTCCTGTGAAGGCGTGTGCGTTCTGCAGAACTCACAGCTCCACGCTTGTTCTGCAGACCTCGGCATGGTGCTTGTGGGAGCCCGGTGCAGATTTAGGGACTCCCCTTTCCAGCCGAGCAGCTTTCTGACAGCGCTGACTCACCGAGGCTGAGGCAGGAAGCGTCCCACCGGGGCTCACAGCCGACAGGCCTCAGGCTCCCCATCGTCAGTCAGCGCTTTCGACTCATTTCCTGGATTTTCCATCACCGATACGGCAGAGAAAAGGAAACTCCTTCAGAGTGAGGCCGGTTCCTCTGACTCTCCTCTCCACTCCCTCCTGTACCGATCAGTGTGCATTCAAACTGTACTCAGTTAACCCTTTAACCCTGTTTCATATCAGCTACGCAGATATCTGAGACCTGTTCCATCTTCATATAATTACAACTTTATTTAAGAAAACAGCAATATAGAATATTTGTTCCTTTCGTTATTGCATATTGGTTTATATTAAAAGTGTAGAAAATATTGAGTTATGTAAATTGTTTATGTAAAAAAAATTGTTTTTTTTTGTTGCCTCAGGCTTCATGGGGTTAATTTTTTAAGGGGCTTAACGTCAAATACCCTTTCACTTGGAATCCACAGCAACAGCTG